TGGGACCATCACTGAGCCCAACCAGTAATAGGTATAGCCACCCAGGCTGTAGAGTTTGGTCTGCGTGGCGAACGTGTTCCCCGTGCAAAAATTATCAAAAAATGTAATATTCCCCACGCAAGAAAAATACTCTACAATCTGGTAGCCCCCTACACTAATCACAGTCACTGCCTGTCTTTTCACCTCCAAGAGAGCAGTTCAGTTCTCTCAACAATTGTGGTAACTGATCATCCTAATGTACAGAGCAAACATCCCAGGGCCCCATCTTTACATCCCACTTGAGGTTTAGCTTCAGGACATCACCTCTGCAATCCCTGCTGACGCTCCCCTATATAGTGGGGGGTGGCAGGCTACAGGACTCAACATCCACCTGTAGGGTTCCCTTGAGCTTTGCCACACGGGCTTCAAAATGGGTTGATGACTGCCAGAATGCAGGCCGGACTGGAAAGCTCCTGTTCCCACTATGTATGAAACCACTATAAATGAACAGAATGTATTAAAAAACAAGCAAAGAATTACAAGTGAATATAAAAATAAAAACAATGTCAAACATAACCCCTATCCCACCTTGGTTTGATATTACAAAAATATAGATACAAAATTCTTAGAAGAGCAAACAAACAATATCCCAGAACAAATAATAAGATTACAGTATATAATGTTAGAAAACACATGATATCTAAATTATAAAAAATTATTCACAGATGGCTCGAAAATAAACAGCAATACTTCCACATCAGCAGCTATATACATACAAGATAACAATAAAACAACAATATGGAAATTACCAAACAAAACAGAAATAATAGAAGCAGAACTCTTCGCAATAAAACAAGGGTTAAAATACATACAAAACAACAAATTACCAAATTCGATACTATTTACAGACTCTAAATCAGCACTACAGCTAATATTAAACTTGAGACCAAAAAATTTTAAGTATAATTTTTTTAAATACAAATATACACAAAAAAAAAAAAAACAAATAATAATCCTACAGTTCAAACACAAAAAAAAGCATAAATAGTTGAAAACACAAAAAAAAAAAACAACCATACATGAAGACGCAAAAAAGAAAAAAAAAAAAAAAAAAAAAAATCAAAGCAACTGGAAAACACAGCTAAAAACACAATTCTTAAACAAAGAATTCTCTTGAAAAAAACACAGAACCACAGCCATGGTCAAACAACTAGATGTCTACATAACCAGAATAAAAAACACACACACAAGACTAAATCAACACCTACATAGAATGAAAATAATAAATGATCCACTCTGCAGATGGTGTCAAAACCAAGAAGAAGATATATAACACTTAATGCTACACTGTCCACGATTTCACGTCAGCAGAACGAAATTGAAAGAAGCCTCAAGAAAAATCAAAGTAATCAACCCTACCATAAACATTATTCACAAGTGCAGATCTCTCCCCGACAGAAAAGTACTACACTCTTAGACATACCAAAATCTTCCTAAGAAAAACAAACTAAAAGAGATCATATAAAAGAAAGAATAGAAAAGAAAAAGGATCCAGGGGATATAGACTACTCAAAAGTCTAAAACCCTATAAAAGAAGAAAGAAGAAGAATGTATTCGCCATTTCATGATACCACAACTGATACTATTGATATAATTATCCCATTTGTGTCAAAAGTCCCATGTTACCTTGTTATGAATTAGGTTTGAACAAGGTGAAATAATAGTACGTTTTCTTACATAAGCTCCTCTTCTTTTTCTTCTTTCTTGTTATAGGGTTTTAACTGATTCCATAAACTCTTCTTCTTCTTTACTGTTATAGGGTTTTAGACAATTGTCGTCTATATCCCCTGGATCCTCTTCTTTTAAGATTTCCATGAAGTCTGAAAACTTCTTCTTCTTCTTTCTTCTTTTATAGGGTTTTAGACTTTTGCATAGTCTATATCCCCTGGATCTTTTTTCTTTTCTATTCTTTCTTTTATATGATCTCTGTTAGTTTGGTTTTTCTTAAAAAGATTTTGGTGTGTCTAAGAGTATAAAACTTTTCTGTTGGGGAGAGATCTGCACCTGTGAATAATAAGTTTATGTTAGGGTTGATTACTTTGATTTTTCTTAAGGCTTCTTTCAATTTTGTTCTGCTGGAGTGGAATCTTGGACAGTGTAGGATTAAGTGTTCTATATCTTCTTCTTGATTATGACACCATCTACAGTAAGGGTCATTTGTTTATTTTCATTCTATGTAGGTGTTTATTTAGTCTTGTGTGCTTAGTTATTATTCTAGTTATGCAGACATCTAATTTTCTATTTTTGGATCTTAACCATGGCTGCGGTTCTGTGTTCTGCAATAGATAATTCTTTGTGTTAAGAATTGTATTTAACTGAGTTTTTCCAGTTTCTCTGGTTTTTTTTTTTCATCTGTTTTATCTGTTTTTTTGTGTCTTCATGTATGGTTATGGATATCTTATTTTGTGTGCTTTTTTAGCTGCTTGATCTACTATTTCATTTCCCTTTATGTTTTTATGTGAAGGTATCCACTGTAACATTATTATTTGATTTTGATTTACCATTGTATATATCAATTCTTGTATTTCAAAAGTCATACTTTTAGAATTCTTAGGTTTCGGGTTAGATATTAGTTGAAGTGCAGATTTAGAATCTGTAAATAGTACTGATTTTGATAATTTGTTATTTTGTATGTATTTTAGCCCTTGTTTTATTGCAAAGAGTTCTGCTTCTATTATTTCTGTATTGTTTGGTAGTTTCCATATGTTATATTGTTATCTTGTATGTATATTGCTGCTGATGTGGAATCGTTGTTTATTTTCGAGCCATCTGTGAATAATTTTTTATAATTTCGATATCGTGTGTTTTCTAACATTATATATTGTGCTCTTATTATTTGTTCTGGGATATTTTTTGTTTGCTCATCTAAGAATTTTGTTTCTATATTTTTTGTAATATCAAACCAAGGTGGAATAGGGGTTATGTTTGACATTGTTTTTATCTTTATTTTCACTTGCAATTCTTTGTTTGTTTCTATTATTCTATGGATTAAGTTATTTTTATCCTTTTGAGGGTTATATTCTTTATATTTTCTGTTAACATTTTTTTTATTTGTGTATTTTCTTTTTTTTCTAGTATTTTTAACATTTGGGTGAATTCTTTTTCTTTTAGTTTATTTTTGATCGACATTTTATTTGTTAGGGCATAGAGTGCATTTATTGGAGTGGTCTTTAAACATCCAGTGGCTATTCTCAAAGCTCCATTTTGAACTGTTTCAATTTTTTTTATTTCTGTGTCATTTGCTGTTCCATAAATTGTTATACCATATTCTATTTTTGGTTTTATGTAGATATCATAGAATTTTATCATTGTCTCTCTGTTTGCTCCCCATGTTGTTGTTGATAATTTTTTCATTATGTTTATTCTATTTGTACATCTAATTTTCAAGTTATTAATATGGTTTTTCCACTTTAGTTTTGGTGCGTCGAATTCGAGTCCTAGGATTGTATGTTTATTTGTGAATTTTAGTTCTTCATTATTTATTTTTATTATTGGTATTTGTCTTATTCTTTTTTTTGTAAAGCACATTACTTTGCTTTTAGTTAAATTTAATTTAAGCTCCCAGTCGTTAGCCCATTTTACTATTTTATTTAATCCTACTTCTAGATTGATTTTTGCTTCTTCTAGATTTTCATTTATTGTTATTATATTTATGTCATCTGCATATATTATTTTGTTGGTTTTTACTGTTAGATTTAGATCTGACATCATTATGTTGAATAGTAATGGACTTAATGGAGATCCTTGTGGAAGTCCTTTACTTATTCCTCCTTCCTCGGATTTTTGGTTTCCTATTATTATTTGGTAGGATCTATTATTTAAAAAATTAGATATCCATCTGAGAGGAGTACCCGTTATACCTAGTTTAGCTGCTTTTATTATTATTGCATCATGGTTTACTTTGTCAAAAGCTTTTTCTAAATCTAGAGATGCTATTAGGGCATATTTTTTCTCTTTATAAGCTTTTTTAATATGAAAATCGATTATTTGTAATGTATCTATTGTTGAGCTATTGGGTCTGAAACCTGTTATGTCTTGACTTAGTTTGTTATTTTTTTCAAGCCACCATATTAGTCTATTGTTGATTATGCTTTCCAGCATTTTCCCTATACATGAGATTCTACTTATGAATCTATATGATTTTTTATTTGCTGGATCTTTATCCGGTTTTAATATCGGATTTACGAGTGATTTTTGAATTCTATAGGATATTCTCCTTTTATCCACAACTGATTATAGATGTTTAAAATTTTTTCCAGTAGGTTATTTGGGATATTTTTATAAAATTCATAAGGGATACTGTCTGGGCCACAAGCTTTATTATTTTTTGTCTTTTTTATTACAGAAATTAATTCTTTTAATGTTATCTCCTTTTTTAATCCGTTCGTACTTGGCAATTCTATTAAACTTTTAAATTCTGATTTTGTTATTAAGCATTTGTTTTTGTGTTTATTATACTTTGGAATTCTTCTTTTAAGAGTTTTAATTTTTTTTTGTTTCTTGTATTGGCTGATCATTATCTATTAGCGGGTAATTATTTATTCTATTACTGCCTGAAAGTTTCTTAATAAAATTCCATATTTTTTTGGTTGGGGTTCTAAAATCTAATGAGTGGCAGAAATTTGACCAACTTGTTCTTTTTTCCTTTTCTATTGTATCTCTTGCTATTATTTGAAGTTTTTTGTATTCTATTCTGTTTTTTTCATTAGGATTTTTTCTCCATTTATTGAATGATTTGTTTCTTTGTTTTATTACTTCTTTACATTTTTTATTCCACCATGGTTTTGTTGGTTTATTTTTACTATTATCATTATTTAATCTGAAATGTTTCATCCCTATGTTTTTTATTATTTCTGTTATTTCGTTCAGTGATTTTATATTGTCCACATCTATTTTTTGTATTTCTTCTTTAAATTTTATCCATCCTTCTTCATTGAATTTCCATTTTTCCTCTTTAACTATTGTTTCTCTATTGTGATTAATGTCTCTTATTATGATTGGAAGGTGATCGCTTCCTCCATATATTTTTGCTTCTACTTCTAATTTACTCAGTTCTGGGGTGCCCAGAACTAGGTCTATTGTAGACCCTTTACCTGTTTTCGGATCTATTCTAGTAATTTGTCCTTTTGGAGTTAACATCAGTATGTTATTTTGATTTATTAAATTAAACAAGTTTTATTCCAGTGATATTTGTTATATTTTGGTTTGTTTTTGAATTCCATAGCGGATGATGGGCATTAAAATCTCCTATTATGAGTTTTGGTTTTTCTATTTGGTTTATGTAGTGTTCCATATCTTTTTGATTTACTTTGTTACATGGGTTGTATATTAAAAGTAAGTGTAGCCATCCTCTTTTATAGCTAATCTTTATAGCTAATGTTTCGATGTTTTTATTTTGTAATTCATTTAGATTAATCTTCTTGTATTGTATATCATTTTTTATACAAATTGCTAAGCCGCCTCCCCTTTGTTCTATTCTATCATTTCTTATGATATCATAATCTTTTATCAAATTTGTCATTATTTGTAAGCCAAGTTTCGCAAATTGCGAATATCTCCGGGTTTTCTGTTTGAATTAGATATTCTATATCTATTTTTTTGTTTATTACAGATCTAGCGTTCCATAGTATTGTTTTAGTCATTAAACCAAACTGATATTTGTTTTAATATTGGAGCAACTTCAGTTATTATCTCTGTTATTATTTCAATTATTGTTTTGTCTGATTTGAATTTTTCGGTTATATTAGTTATTAATTTGAAAATTCCTTTTGTTATTTCAACAAATGAAGGTTTTTCTTCTTTTTTTTTTTGTTCTTCTTCTTCTTCTTTCTTCTTCTTTTCTTTTATTGTTGGGGTTTTGTTTAGTGGTGTTGGTAGAGACCATGTTATGGGGGATTCTGTGAGTTTCTTGTCTTTTATGTTTTGTTCCTTTGTGTGTGTTTGTTCTTTTGTTTTTTCTTGACTGTTTTTTTGTTTTGATTTTGTTGATTGAGTTGGAGTATTTTCTGCTCTGTTTGTGTTATTTTTTTGTTTTGTGGGTGTTTTTTGTGCTGGTGTTATGTTATTTGTTTGTGTTAGTATTTTAGCATATGTTTGTGTTATGTTTGGGTTTGTTTGTTGTATAGTGTTTGTGTTATCATCTGTTTGTTGTTTGTAATCTGTTTCTGAGTTGTGTATTTCTGCTGTGGTAATTATTATGTTTTTTTGTATTGGTTGATTCTGTTTTTGTGTTGTTGGGTTTAAGTGATGGAAAAGTTTTTTTACTTCTAAGTTATTTGGTGTTGTGTTTTTTTTGTTTATTTCTTGGGCTTTTTGATGAATTGGGCAAGTTTTATCGTATGCTGTGTGGTTACCTTTACAGAAAAAGCAATGAGGTGGATTTTTGCAATCTTTATATTTGTGATCTTGTTGGCTGCATTTACTACATCTTATTTTGTTTTTGCATGATATCAACCCATGGCCATACATTAGACACTTAAAACATTTGGATATTGGGAATGTGTATTGATATACCTTATAACTTATATGACCTATTGTTAATTTGTTAGGTAATGGACCTCTGAATGTTATTTTCAGGGATTTAGTAGGAATCCATTTATTTTCTCCTGATATTTTACTTGGTTTATGAAATCCTTGTTATATCTTTTATGTATGTATCTGGCCCCATAGTATCTTGGTTTTTTCTTTGATTTCTTCTATTTCTATATCTGTTTCTACTGGGGATATTGTTCCATAGGAGCATCCTTGATCTTTATTTGATGCAGGTTGCTTACAGTTTATTTCCCAGTTGCCTAGGTATTTAATTTCATTGAGAGGTCCAATTTTTGATATATCTACTACCTCGAATCTAATGGCTTTTCCATCTCCTATTACTCTTAATGAATTTTCAATTATGTATTTTTGAAAAATTGATTTATTTATGGCCTCAGTTAACCTTATTGGATGGTTGAAGTTTGAGGTATTTGATTTGTTTGTTATTTGTATTAGAATAACATTTTCTTGAGGGGTACCTTGAGTACTGTTCCGTAGGTATGGTTCTCCGTGGTCTGTTTGCCGGTTTCTTCGTTTCTTGCTTGTTTGGTGTATGGGCAATCTTCGCTATCACTGTCTCGTCTTCTGCTGTTTTTCTGGTGTTCGTATATCATTTCATTGTCTTTTCCAGGTTCTTCACCTGGATCAAGATCAAAGTTTCCGTTCATAAGCTTTCACTTCACTGAGTTCGGTACTTTTTAAAGATTGATCACTCTTACACGTTGATGTTCACTCTTCAAAGTCTCGACCGGTTCTCCTTTTGAGAGTTTTGACTTCTGTTTGCTTCTGAAAACTTCAAACCCGAGCCCCAGGAACGGTTCCGAACGGTTTGTTATTGTTGTCGTTCTTGTAAATTGCGTTCGGTGAATCCAGGGAGTCCCTTTCGGTTTCCGAGTTTTCGCTTTCTTTTCTATTTTGTATTGGATTTCAGGCCATAGAACTAAGAAGAAATGTAAACTCTTAAAAGATAGAATTATATATTAGTAGTGAATTTGGGTATTCTTGAAAAATAATCTTGCAATCGGAGCAGTTCGCATAAAGGAAAAGTGCCATTTAAAAGAATTGGTTTAAAGTTCATTTTGAATTACAGGCTGTCATGCAACATAAAACCAAATAATAAAATTGCAGGGCTGCTCTAATGTGTCACTCAAGAACACACTACCATCAAAACTATACAGTATAATCAAATTTAGGAGTAGGTTAGAATTAGAACAAAGTAATAACACCAAGCCAATACTAAAGCAGAATACGAAATTAAGCCAAAAAAGATTAAGATATTACTTTAAATTGTAAAAGACAAAGTCTCATAAGGTCTTTTTCCGGTGCCAAGAGGTGTAGTACTACAGATTCCCATGACTCCGCCCCTATTTATGGGAGCGAAGTCATATATATATAAGCAACTGCACCTGGTTGATGAGCGCGCGGAGCACCTCTGCTCGTTTTAAAAGTGGAAGAAAATGGGAAGTTCAAAGTTGATGGTGCACTGTATGGTGCAATATTAGTATATTTGATGATGTTAATGAGGATATTATTGCACTAAGTACTAGTTTGAAAGTATTTACGCGCGCGCGCGCGTGTATATATGTGTGCATATATGCATATATATTATATATATACATACAGAAATGTATATATACATACATACCTATATATACAGTATACACACACACACATATTCAAACATATGTATACACACATGCATATATATATATTATATATATATATATATATATATATATATATATATAATATATATATATATATATATATATATATATATATATATATATATATATATATATATATATATATATATATACACACACACACACACAAATATATATGCATTTTTGTATATATATGTATATATATATATATGCAGAAATGTATTAAAAATATACACTACTACCATATATAATAATATAGAGTTTAAGGTTTATATGCTTTCGTATTAATTAATAGGGCTACGGCAAAGAAGAGCGAGGTTCAGATTTATCTTTCGCATGTGTATATTTATATTTTTATGCGATATGTCATGTAAGGCTACTGTTTTTTCTTATATCATTTATGCTTTAATCTTGGGCAATATTCAGGTCTCCAAAAGTGTTGCGTGACGAATAATATACGGGGAAGTATCTCATGTTTTATTTACATAATGTGTTCGAATGGTTAAAAGAATATTATGAAAATCTATATTAGGTTTTACATAATCATTTTGCTTATTATGTATATATAATTGAATATGCACAGGTAAACTTATATATCCTTTTGAATGTTGTTGATATCAATCAATAAATAGTGTCATTTTCAAAATATTTAAAGAAGTGTGACCTTCGAAACCATTGTCGATGGACGAATGAAGAAGTATGATGGGAGGCGCTTAGGGCCCACGCATTTTCAACTGATTTCGATAGTTTTCCGTCGTTTGATTTGTAATTTGAAGATGTTGATAACTAACAACTTGTATTTATTGTTATTTTCCTAATGTTACATCAGTAAACCTGTGACTTGTTAATTGATACAATTCAAAAACAAAATCAGATTCGTCAACTCGAGTACAATTCCTAGGAATGGGGGTGGAGCCGTACCTGTGGCAACAGCGTAGAAGCATCGGCAAGGTTGCTGTCGCGATCGGCCTGGAGAATGTCGCAAATGAAAAAAAAAACGACACTTTCTAGTGTAGTTAGACAGTTTCTTGGCACCGGAAAAAAGGCCTATACTTACCACAGGAACGGCGTTATACGACAACAGTTTTCCCAAATAAATAAACCTATAAATATTTCTACAATCACAAACACAGCAGTTTATTACACTGTCACTGATCTGATTCAACTCATTTCCAAACTTCCTTTAGACCTGTAAGTCGTACTTCCCTCCTTTTCCAGCTCACAAGACAATTGATAAGCTGTAGATAGAGTATTATGCACTAGTTCAGTACTCGATGTTCCAGACGGATAGGGACGCATGCCTATTCTATCACTATTGAGAAATCAGGTATTACAAATCTCTCTCTTTCTGCCTAATTGGAAGGCAACGTTGAGTAATATGCTACTCCAAGATAAGATGAGGTATGACTGGGGTGACATTGGGGCAGCAGAATTTTCACTTGTTTCTAGAGGAAGTGGAGGGAGCATTTCTGGTGCTTGAGATAACAAACACAGTGTAGTTATTGGGCCTGATTTACCCATTAGTTTAAACTTGTGTGAGAATATGATATTTTGAGGACAAATAGTAGTAACGAATTGTTCATAAGCATATGGATCAAACGTTCTAACCGCCTTAACTAAATTAAAAGCCTTCTGACCAATAGTGGGAGAATCAGCTTCTGCATCTATAAGGTTTCTGGGCTGGCAAGTGTGGGTTTGCCATCCTCATATCTCGGTATCAAGATATAAAACCAAGGGTGAGGCCACACTTAGGTGAAGGCCCGGGCGAAGCTAGACTACGCACATCTCACTGAACTGACCTGCATCAACATCTGTCTCAAAGAAGTGCGTGAAGTCTGGGAGCTTTAAGACAGGTGCAGAAACAAGAGCTTCCTTAAGGCTCTGGAAAACTCGGGAATAATTAAAAAGTATCTTTTCCTATCAGATTGGAAAATGGTGTCGCTATCCTACCAACCCTGTGTCTCTCCCTAAAGATTTCTCTTACACTCCTGGGTCTCCTCATCTCCTTGATGGCACCCATATATTATCATTCCACTTCCAGAGACCAAAGTCCCCGATTTTTTCTCTACCTGAGCAAAAGTGTATTTACTTAGGTCAAGTTCAGATCAGCATCAAGCAAGAACAGGAGGGTCTCGCACAACGAATCCATATGACTCTCGAAAGTAAAGACCACCCGATCATTCAGACTGGCCAAGGTGTGTCGGCCCAACACAGCAGACAGGGACCAGGGGAGCCTGAAGATGCACCTCTCTCTGGATACTGCGGAAGAGCAGGAACTTCAGGAATGGTGGACACACTTCTGTGTAAAATTAGAGTGGAATGCTGATTGATCGGATGGCTAGGTAACATTTGTATGGAATATATATATATATATATATTATATATATATATATATATATTATATATGTGTGTGTGTGTGTGTGTGTGTGTGTGTGTGTGTGTGTGTGTGTGTGTGTGTGTGTGTGTGTATTTTCCACTTTTTGTTCTTTTGAACTTTATAGAAAGTCTGCATCAGTCACTGAAGAAACAGTGATTGTGATACGAATAAATAATTCGATAATATTCTTGTGCATAAGATCACTCAGTGTCCGACTATCATGTATTTAGAAGTCAGAATCAGTAGGCAAGAACATCATTTTCGTATTAGTCCACGTCTTTCGACACTGACTCCAGTGCGCTGCGGTAGAACTAGGTTAAGTATATAACAACGCAACTGGAGCGCCAGGGCATATATCCCGCTGCCCATCTGTTTCTTGTACCCAGAAATTAACATATGTCCAAGAAAATGACCTTGTAGAGCTTTCGAGCTTGTACAGTGATGGCGTTTTGGCCTCACATCCGAGGGGTAGGTGGTTCGCGCCCCGTCAAGGCGCACCAAGTTGCAATCGTCGCTTGGTTCAAGGTCTATATAAGTACTTATATAAACCTTGGCTTGGTTACTGCTGTGGCTGGGCACCACGATAAGGCCTGAGCTCTGTCGCGCCTGCTGTCACACGTTGATCGAGTCGGCATTAGTCGACACAGGCCGGGCTCCCCTCATAAGCATATCCCGAGCGAGGCTGAGATTCGCTTGTCGACTTCCCATTCCGCTTAGAAACGGATGAAGGGAGAAAGATCGTTAGTAGATATGTAAAGAGGACGGTCATAAGGCTAAAGGGCAAAGGCGTCGTTGGCGTACCTCAACCTCAACCTGAAGGACGACGGGGGATGGAAGGGAGTTGACTGGAAGTATTCCGTAAATAAACTAAGACCAGAGGAAGAGGAACTGGGAACAGAAGTGCCCTTCGAACAAGAAATGCTCCACGTCCAGATTAATCAACTGGAGGAAGACGTCGATGGGCAGAGAAGGACAAGTTCCTAACCGAAAAAAAAAAAATCATCATCTCTCTCCGTCAACATTCAAACATCATAGACGCAGACAAGGGGAGTGAGACTGCACCAACCAGCATGCAAGAGGGATTATCACACAGCCTCGGGAGATGATGGTCCCGTCTGGCTTATGGGTCTCGGGCAATCCACTCTAATGATGACCTAAAACCTTGGTAGAGGTACGCGTCAGGGCAACTAGATGCCATCTACTTCGGGCGACGGTGAAAGGTAGTCGCACTGCGTTCGCTGGTCATGGAAATATAGTAGAAGCGTCGCCCAGGTAAGAAGCACTGAAGACCATCCTGTCGGGAAGCTAAATGGTGACATCCTCCGCCCCAGATCATACAAAGTCTGTAACGCCAGAAGATGGAAGAATGGACTCGAGAATCGAGTTAACACATTACGACATCGACGAGGGTGAAGCAGGACCAACGACTTAGAAATCAGGATGCAAAGCTTTCGGGAGAAGCAGGCATGGATGGTGAAGTGGCGTTGACCATGAAATGACAGGCATGTCTGGGGAGCCGCTCCTTCAGAAAGTCTGACTGTAGACGTGAAAATTACTATCTCTTGTTATCTCCTCCCTCTCAACTGCACACTTTCACCTCGCCAAGATGCCATTCACTGTGTCTCTTGCGATAAACAGTACGTTTGTTTCATTAACCGTGTTTCTTAACATATGTTATGTTTGAGGGGCATGTCAATAACACCCTCTTCCTGCCATCACTGGGACATAAGTCATCAGATGGACTAGTCAGCAGTGCACATTATCTTTCCTTCTCCCGATATCCGCATTCACATGCCTGACAAACAAGGTCCCCAATTTTAATCTTCACATTGTTCGTTTCTCCTGCCAACAGTCGCCTCGCTCCATAAACCCCTAGACTGCTCTCTCAGTTCAGTTCAGTTAGATTTGCTGTCATGCTTCGCCCGGGCCTTTTCTCTGGAGTGGCCCGGTCTGTGTCAACTATTTCTTGTTAACTCGTGTGTTTTCTTTGAACTGAATGGTTATCGTGGTGGCTGAATTGCAAGCAAGCGATCCAGCTGCCATGGAGTAAGCATGTGGCATACCCTTTTTACCAGCCCGGCGGCTGTGGTAAGTGGTCCCTGTCTTAGAAATTGTGTATTCACAATTTTGCAAGTAATGTAACGATGGCGTTAGACTCGCCGCAGTGTTTGCATAACCTGGCAGTCTCGTCATCAATAATTTGCCAAGCGCATGGGTAACCTAGTCTTAATCTGTGTAGTATGACTTCGGTACCTTTTTTTTTTTTGTATTTAGAGGAAGGCCAGTGTAGCATCTGAGTACCAATTGGCAGCAAGCGAATTTATGGCATTTTCTTTATGCGCTCCCAAGAGGACTGCACATGCTGTAGCTTTGGTACTTT